GACATAATCTAGTATTTGATCGGTCATCGGATGTACTCGATAAACTAAATCGTTTTTTTCCTCGTAAAGTTTTGCTGATAGACCCACACTGCTTTGAGCTTTAGTTCGTAACCGATAAGGGTTGCAAGCGGCAAATATTCGAATATTTGGATGAATCAGTTTTCCATTGAGGAGTCGATGCGAAATTAAACTTCCTAGCATCCCGATGTGATCACAAGTGTTTATTTCATCAAAGAACACCCAAGTTTCGCCTTTTTGTGCAAGTCCCTTGACCTCTTCCATAAAATTTATAATATCATTCTCGTGAATTCCAGCATGAAGATTTAGTGCGCTAAAGTTAACTTCCATAATCATTGACAGGTATCTAATTAGACTGGTCTGAATTGATAAAATTAAATATTAGTATGATTGCTAGCGTAAATGTCGTACTACGTATAGTAATTCATCAAACCTTGCCACAACCGGCCTCTCCGCAGCAAACAACTGGTATGTTGGCACGTGATCTTAATAAAATCATCGCCATCTTGAGCATATTCTCGATTGACAACGCGTATTCCGGCAAATTTGTCAATTTATTCATTTTTCTCCTTGCGAGTTGTTCCAATCGCTCCAATAAAATGGTCGGTCCCATCGAACTGTAATCTTGTAATTCTGCATTTTGACTTTTTAATAGATTTTCAACATTTTTTGGCACTTTGTTCTTTTCTCGATAAAGCGCGCATATTGAGTCTGGCATTTGGGACAAAAATACGACCACGAGATGATTAGAATCGTCCCATTGCGCGATATCCCCGAGCCGCGCATTATCAATTTCTTGAGTATCGTCGTTTTGAACAGCTTGAATATTCTTCTTTTGCATATCTTTGGTCTTAATCGCACGGGTTGCAAATTCTTTAGAGCAAGAGATCAAAATTTCCAAAAGAGATGAGCGGATGTTCGTATCTTTGGTCATAATGCGCAGCTGTTCTATTTGAAAGAAGGAACTCGCGGAAAAACGAACCAGTTGATCCGCTAACACGTTTACAAATATTTCCAAGAATCTGTAGGAATGGACGTTGTCCATGTGATCATTAAAAAAATATTGTTCCAGTAACTGTCGACAACGCTCGGGTGATAATGGCTCGCTAATCGCGTTATCTCCAGTAAATCGGATATTCTCGTCATCAAGGACACCACGAGCATACTTATCCAAATAATAAGAAACCACCTGGAGAGGGCTATTCACATGAAAAGGCACGATGAGATTTTTCATATTCCATTCGATCTCTTGTTGATGCAAATACTTTGTTAAAGGTAGCATGTCCAGCAAATGTTGTTTAATCGTTGATGCAATTTCGATGTAGATTAGAGTTTTGGGTAGGTGTACAATGTCGGAGTCGTTTGAAACTATGCCGAGCGTTAGTAATTCGAACAAAAAGAAATTGACTTCGTGCGAATTCGTGATAAGCGTGATGTCAAGGTGTAAGCTTTCAGCGGGTCCTAAATTACAATCTGCCAGTTGTCGAACTAGCGTTTTAAAATATGCATTGTCGCTGATCAGTAAGGTACGTGGCACCTTTCCTTTCCGAAAACTGGATTCCTTAATCCATTCTGTCTTTCCTTGGCCGGACATATTTGATGTTACGCACACTACATCAGGACAGATTTCTTCGTATAACATTTTCATGGATTTTGCATCAAGACCGTTTGTCACATGCACATTTTCCGCAAATTGATCTAAGATGTGATGATTGGTGCCCTTTTCTCGAGTGCATATAAGAGCCAGAAGATAATCATTTTCTTTTTCCTGAAAATCACGAATAGCCTGGACGAGATTATATTGCAATTCAAAATCCAAGAGTTCGACATCCGCAATGCAAAACAAACGGCCTTCATATCCATTGCTTGCAGCAATAAAGGAACGTTTTATGAAGAGTGAAATTTCCTCTGCAGTCGTTGTATTTCTACAGATAAGGAGTTGCCATGGTTCAGGAAAAGTTCGGTGGTTAGCGAATAGTGATAGGATGACGTTTGGAACCAAGAAACGGGAATTGCAAGCTGCGACGAACAAATGTCCTTTAAAGATAGTATCGGCCACGATCGGTTCTAGTTCTTCGGGAATAGTTCGAGTTCGCAGTGGTATGTCGGAGAAAATACCGCGAAGTGTAATACCAATCTTGCGAAGAACTGGCAAAAAATCTTCTTCTTTCCTAACCGCATCCCATATTCCAGTTTGTGTTTGCGGCAACTGAGCTGTGTCATTGACAAATCTTATAAAATTATTACAAGTTTCTTTAAGACTTTCATCCCTTTTCCTAAAATAGTCGTAAAAGGTTAAAATCTGGCGGGCGGAAAAGAAAGTTAAATAATAGTGCTCGTTTTGCGCACGATTGACTATTTCTTCCCATGTCTTTAGATCTCGTGTCAATTTGTCCAGCATTTTTTGTAGTTTATTGACGCCACGTGCCTGAAGATGCATCATCTGGTATAGGAAATGCCCCAATCGAATCAGTTTGGAGGCAACATCAATAATTCGTTGCACCAGATCGACCTGTATAATAAACTGATTCATTTGTGTATCAATATCTTCGGAATTATTTTCATCATTTATTCGATCCGTCGAAGCTCTAGATTTTCCGATCAAGAGTGCTCGGCCGTAAAGATCGTGCAAATCTGCTAAATTGTATGACGCCTTCACGCGAGGTGTTATATCATTGTCATCATCGATTTGCGTTGTATCGTATGTTAAGAGGACCTCACATAAATTAGTTCGTTCCTCATGTTGAAATGTATAGGTTCCGATAGTCGCGGCATTTTTAATTCGTTCTTTCGTAACCTCTCCGCGCTTTGCCACATTGCGATACATATTTTGTAAAGCCAAATTATGTGAGCTACAAGAATTTATGTTTGTGGGAAGAGAAGGATTTTTTTTGGATATTTCTGTTAGGCAATCCAAAAACGATTCGATTGAAGCTCGTGCTTCTTTGTTCAAGGGATTTAACGCCTTATTAACTTCAATTAAAGCGGCCACCGTGTTTTCCTGAAGTAGTTTTGTGTCTGATTGATCATCAACGGCTATGTTATATTAATAAATGTACGAATCAAAGCAGAATTAATGATAGCTCTCATTTTTCATGGTTACTGAACACAGTACGTAATTATAAAGGTTACCGTTAATGAGGTTTGTCAAGTCTTTTCCAATTAAATCTTTAAGTAAGAAGCCAATAAATTCTTTGGCCGAAGAGAGTTCTTTTATTATAGGCCAGATCTCTTTGTACTTCTCGACATGATTATCGAGATCCTTAAAAAATTTGGGCAATTGTCCTAAGGTCATATCGTCATTCTTTAAAGTATTCAGCATTCTATTTGCCCAACTATTTTCCACATTCTTAACATTGAATTGGACAATGACATTTGAAAGATTTCTCAGTTGCGAGATTGAAGACGGAATGAGAGCCAGTGATTCGATTGATTTAATCAAATCTTTCTTCTTTTGATGTTGTTTATACCATGTCGTATCGCTGTTCATCAGTTCAAACTCCGATCTAACCTCTTCTCTGGTGATCCCTTTCCAAAGCGGCCAAGCTTCTGAGCATTTTATATTTCCCCAGTTTTTATAGCTCAGGCAAGTCTTTTGATAGTTTTCGAGTAAAGAATCCCTAAATGCTTTCGCCACAGATGAAACATCTATCTGAACTTCTTCATTCATGCTATTCATGAATACATTAAAAAAGGTTTTTGAATCTTTATAAGGATGCACTTTTTGACTGACTTCAATTATCTCACGGTGAATTGACCAATAACCCGGGGCGACTATTTCGGCAAACTCCAAATCTTTCAAAGCGTTCATTTTTTCATTGAGATCATCCAGGTAACTCTGCGTGTCTGCAGCTCCGCCGCACCATTTATGGTAAAAGGAGTAAAGTTGCTCGACGATACATGTATGTTCACGCAATCTTTCATTGAATGATTCTAGCAATTCTTTGGTGATTATATTTCCTGAACTACCTTCATCGCCGATTCCCGCAGCAAAATATTCAATTAATATTTCATTAGGCGATTCGAAGAGTGCACTAAGCATCCCAATTCTAATTGATTTGTTCTCTATTGCACGGACGAGCTTTGTAATTTTCGAGCAAACATATTTTACATGTTGATGTCTCAGTAGTTCATAGACTTCACCGGATGCGTTTAACAAGAATATCCAGAGTTTTGATGATTTAATCAGTAACAATTGCGAGGTGTCGTCATCTTTGTTGTCAATATTAAGCACACCAGATTTTACAGAGTTTTCTCGAACTGAATCCAATATATACAAAAGAATTTCTTCACATAACCTATTAAAAAATTGGTAATCGACAATTCCCGATTAATGATAAAAGTTTAACGTACTTATTAAAGAAATGAACGGTAATTAACTTACTGATTAGGAATGTACAGTTTAGGACCCGAAATGTCGCATATCAGGGATATGATTTTTATTAGAGATTCATCGGTAGCATTACTCAACAATGGATCTAGTATTTTTATAAGAACTTTCTTAAATTCTCTGATAATGTAGGGCTCTAAAGCACCCACAAATGATGTGGATTGAAGAAACCAATCATTCGGTAAGCTGGCAATTTTTTTTTCGATAATCGATGCCAACCTTTTATGAATGTTGGGTCTTTTTTCAATAGCGAATGAAATAGCAGAAAGTTGCTTATAGAAGAAGGATACAATATTCATTTTTCCTTTTTGAGTGGTAGGGGCATTGGAAATTGTATGACAATACCACTCTTCACAAAGTGATGGAATTTTTCTATCCAAATTCGGTTTATTATCCAAAGCGAGTTTCGACCACTCAGGGAATAATAGTAGCAAATTGTGATTTTTTGACGTCGAAAGTTGTTTCAGTATTCGTTCGATTTCAAAATCTGCGGTAAATAATTGAGGAAATAGTCGGGACATGGATTCAGAATATTCGGATCTCCACATAGATCTGTCATTGCTTAAAAATTGTGAAAACTTGTCGCAAAATACGGAGGCACACGCGATTCGAAGATCTTCAGAAAGGGATTTAAAATGCTGTTCCAACGTGCATGGATTGTCAGGACCTATAAAGTTATTGATAGATCTGTTTATGCATTCCTTGACTTTTTCATTCATTTCTTCTTTTTCAATGATATGATTCATTATAAAGTCACATGATTCGATATTGAAAAAAGAAATTTTGATTATGGTCTGTGATAGCGAATACAGTAAACACATAATTCAGAATAATTAATATTGTGCGTAATATGCAATGGCTATATATAATATTATTACTGTACCTCCACAACAGTTTGATAGGTTGAATCTTTGTCGATTTTATCAATATAAGGTTTCACGTCCCTCTTGAGCAACTCATAAAAACGTTTGCTTTCATTTATTTTGCTATATTCATGTTTCTCAATGTTAGGTAAGAACGTATATGACGGGTCGAGAATAGGTGCAATAGCAAACATTTTCATCCAGTCAAATTCCCCACGTTTTGATGAATTGTGTCGGACCAAAGCTGATGTCGCCAGGGAAAATAGACTTATAGCATTCGAAGGTATAATATTAGGTTTAATTTCCCGTAACGCTCGCAATAAAATAGCTGAAGGAAATCTATCAGTCAATTTTAGACGGCTGAGACTTCCATCCTTCTTTTGAGCGACATCAATGTGATGTCCTAATAAAAAGCTTATGAAGATCCGTTGGTAGCCCTCGCGTGATGACGATATTAGAGTCATGATCGAAATCGTGTCAATCGCACGTGCAGTTAAATCCGGATGACTTTTTGATAATGATTGGAATTCCATAATTTTTTCTTTAAGATTCTCCGGGTTTGCTGATTCATATATCACGTCAACAAACTTAAAATCTTTATAGAGATTTGTGCTGTAAAGCTTCTTAGAATTGTTGCTCTTCCATATATCATAATGGTAACCTTGATACAATAATGTTCGGTTATCGTGTTCTGTATCGCCTTCCATTATAATGGTGCTGTCGCCGAAAAACCAGTCGTTAAACTCGCTTATCCTGCCAGTTTTTTTTGGTTGGTAGAGTGCATATTTGTAAAAGACTTGTTCTTCTCTCACGCGGATCTTAACTGAATCAGAAACCCAATATGTAGAATCGATATCATTTTGATGCAATTTTACAGTCGGACTTTTCCAATTTCCTAACTCTCCGATGCTCCCTATAACCAAAGGTTGTAAGGATACTCCATCCAAATTTGGCATATGAACGTGAAATACGATATAGCATGTAGTATTAGCGACCATTCTTGGATTTATTTCATCTTCACCGTCAATTTCATTTTCGATTTCGTAATTATCTTTAGGAACAGCTGATCGGCTATTAGAACCTTTGCTTCTACCGGATCCAAAACTAAACCACGACTTCGACATCTTTAGAAGATGAATCTGACCCAAACACTTTGATGTCTTTTATATAAACAATGGGAAAATCTTTAAGCTGGACTGACATGCAGCGCCGGTGGGTTTCACTACATCCAAATTTTTTTGTTCTTAAAGGTGACTTTCCAAAATGCCAGGGTTATTGTTTCCCAAAAAAGATGATTCTCGTTTCCTAAACAGAGAGGTCATTATTTCCAAAAGCGTGAAGTTTATTAACCATTTCCCAAATAATGATGGTCATTATTTCCTGAAAAACTACTGCTATTATTTCCTAAAATATACCGATTGGCCTTTAAAAATACGAATCCTACGTACAGTAGCGGAACTACGAATGTAAATTTCTTTCCCTCATTGAAGACTATATATTTTTTTTTTCGTGATAACTATACAATGAAATGCATAAAATGCAAAATTTCGAAACTATCAAGAGAATTTCCTGAAGGCACAATTAGTTCAAAATGCGAGCATATTTCGTCTTGGTGTTTACAGGTATGATAAATTTTATGTTACGTATTGATAACAAAGTATGTGCGCGCACGTAATATACATATACCGTTTGACTAGTGCCTCGTGGGATATCTGAGAGAAGAACAATATAAATGCCCTGTGTGTGCAGTTGAATTGACCGAACAAGAAATCAATAAATTCAACTTGTTTTGGGATAAGGCAAGCTTCCGGATTGATCTCGAAAATATTTCGCAAACGTACGCCGATCTTTCTGAGCAAAATGAAATGAATTCCGAAGATTTTTATGTGGTCCGCTTAAATGGTACGAAAATTACGCTAAAGATTCGTGACATCACTACCATCAAAGATTTAAAATACTCGTTGAGAAATAAAACTTCAATTGACATTGCGAAACAAAAGTTAATTTTTAAGGATGTGGAACTCAGTGTACGTTCTTTTATTTAATTTTGAATTTTAAATTTTTATTATTCTAACTTTTTCTTCACAGAATCTCCGAGAAGATGGGACAGAAAGTACACTTAAAGATTATGGCATTCGTGCCAATAGTCACGTCCAACTTATCGTCGTACTCTACTCTATCACAAAAGATCAGGCCCTAACCAATTTGGCTTTCGATCTAAATTGGGGATTTCCTAAGACAGGACAGGACTTTCTTGACGGAACTTGCTTGATATATGCAGGGGATAGATTGTGGAAAAAATATGACTATTCATCTTCATTTTACCCGAGTATACCATATATTAAACATTCCGGAGACATCATAGATAACGAACAAGGTAATTGTGCGCATCCTAATTAGACTTCTATTTGAATTCGTTATTCGACTTATTTATAGAATTTTTAATCTCCAACAGAAAAAGGGCACCACAAAATAACAGCGAAACTTGATGAACTTCCCGAAAACGTTGGTCAACTTTATTTGATTCTCAGTTCATGGAGGTCTCCCACAATAGGCCATTTTCGTGATCCAAGCTTTAAACTTTACGATGAAAATGATCCAGACAGGCAATTATTGGATTATACTATTCAACGAGCCGCAAATTCACAGGCAGTCATAATGTGTCTTATTAACCGGTCCAATGGTGGTGAGTCTCTGGATCCGATCATTGCGACTTTTGAATGTTTCTCATATTTTGCAATTTCAGGCATGTGGAATGTAATTGAAGTAGGCGAATTGTCGACTGGAAACGCGAAAAATTATGATCCGATAGAGAAGGTCATCAGAAGACTGCTGTGGTTCAATAGAGTCCTGTAAATTTCGAAAATTAATCTGAATATGGTACACCAAATTGCATTATGCATTTTTTATCACAAATGGAACAAATAAATGAATATGATTGTATTGATTTTTTACCTCGAATATATACGTGAAAATAATTGTAAATGCATTTGCTCCCATCCATCACTCATTACAAAGTAAAATATGTGAATAGATGAAAATTGATCGAACATGTCGATATACTGTAATTTTTATTAAATTGTTAAAAAATGTCATAATGGTAATTGTTGATGCCTGCATCATTGGATGGGCCATGAAATAATTAAAAATACAATGCTTACCAATATGATTCCTGAAGAACAAAATAAAATAAAAAACTAATACGTTGCACTCTTGCATCATCTATACATGCGAGGATACTATATTACCGATATTTGTCTCTCCTATTCTTCGTCTTCTCAATGATTTAGTTATATTCTATACAGCTTATCTACTGACGCCCTTTTAAAGCTTTCACTTTTATGGTTTTCTGATCTTAATTTGACCTTGAATTTTGAGTGCACAAATTCTCACCAAATATGATTGATTAACATGAAATACATTAGTTTTTGAAATATAAACAAGCTTCTATTAATCATATTAATGTGTTCTAATAATATCATGGTAATTGAAAAGAAGGTTCTAGAAATATTTATCCCCAAAAGTCCAAGTTCTTTAATAAAAACTTTAATATCATTAAAAGATCAAATAATAGATAATATGAATTGCAAAATCTATCTTTTATCTAAGTTTCTCTAGTAGTGACAAAGCTTTATAGAAAAAAGCTGAGGCCCAAATACTTTCCTTAAGATATTCCAATCTGATACTTATTTAAATGAAAAACCAGTCAGATTAACTTGTATGATACTGTAGATAGTAAAAAAAAAAATTTTTTTTTGAGATTCAAGTGAAGTAAAAAGACTATTACAATCAGACAGATCTCTTTTATTTTTGGATTTTTTTGGTGAGCCTTGAATTGTTTCTTTTTTCTAATCATTTTTCTCTTTTCCTTTTTTAACTTAGTAATTTATTGATTTTCAGGCAATTAATAATGACAAACTATTGACAATAATCTTGGTAGACAGAGATTATTATCAATCTATTAGGAGAGTATAATATTATTCCTAAAATCTTATTTAGAGTACTTATATATGAAAACAAGTTAGTCACTTTGTGAAAGTCTATAAATTATTATAGATTTATCTTAATTTCTCAATAAAGATAAGCTATTGTGACATGATTGTATATTAAAAAAAAAATTATTTAATTATTTTATTTTATTTTAATTACACAATAATATAATTAATTTTATTTTAATTAGATAATTAATTATATAATTACATAATTAATTATCTAATTAAAAAAAATAAAATAATTATGCAATAATGTAATTAATTTTATTTTAATTAGATAATTAATTACATAATAATGTAATTAATTATGCAATGATATAATTAATTATTTAATTAATTTATTTTATTTTAATTAAATAATTAATTATGCAATAATACAATTAATTATTTAATTAAGACTTGTGGGTCAATAGCACAGTGGTAGTACTCCCAGGTCGCAATCACAAGGTCTGTAGTTCAATATCACTTAAGGACCAAAATCAAAAATTATCCTTCTGATCAGGTTTGATCGGTTATCCTGTAAAAGTCATACCCAATCATCCGGAACAAGTTCTAAGCAGGTTAGGCTGCATGAAGATGGGACTTCTGACCTTCAGTCGATCAGGAGCTGAGATCTACAGTTGTACTACTGGAAGGATTGCATGAAGAAAGACTTCTGGTCTAGCCTCCCACAAAAATGCCCCAAGCCCACTTTGACCTGGCAGCCTCCAGGACCTCCACTCTCCTAGCTCAGGATATCCCAAT